TTCAGATTAAATCACCTATTTATTAGCACAGTGTTTATTAATAGCTTTGTTATAAGAAAAGAAAGTGTTGCAATAGAAATAACACTGGGATAGTGTTAGATTTGGAAAATCTAGACTCTGACCCACACTCTGCCATATACTAGCCATTTAACTTCGGGAAAATCACTTAACCTCTCTCAACAACAAAGGCTAATTACTATGCACTCTACAAAGCCCATAGGGTTATTATTAGGATACAAAAGGGTAATATATGAAAGTGCTTAGAATTTACAAGGAGCTGTATAAATGATATGATTTTAATGACAAACATAGCTCTGATTTAATAACATTTTTTTGTTTGTGTGTGTGTTTTTTATTTACCATGGGTTTGGGTTTTTTTTAACATTTTAAAATGTGAACTTACAAAAGAAAGAAATTAAGGGGCAACTATTTATGCTCTAGAAGAATTCATCACTGAATAAAATACTGCAAGGTTTAGCAACTCAAATTCAATCTGAACCAATTAAAATATGAGTCAACCAACAAAAATGTCCTTCATATTCAATTTTTCAGCAAGATATTTATTACATAAAGCAAGGCAGATATTTGACTCTGGCCACAAAATCACAAGCTTATTCCACTGAATGCACTAAGATGGCCTTCACCTATGTAACAAAATCAGAGGCTGCAAAGTTTAAGTGGCTCCATTTTACAAGCAGATACAATGCACCATGCTCCACAGTTGAAGAGGTGAACCAGCACATGTAGGAAATATTAGAGTTGACTCCAGGTTTACAGGAAAACATGTGATTCACCAGGACACAGCACAGTCTGATATATGTAAAGAATTCCTAAATCTGTTTCACAGACCTATTGTTTATGGACATAAAGAAGTATGAAGAAGCAGAGGGGGCAGCTGCAAACAGACTGAGACTTATTTGTAGTACTGCTGACAGTCAAATAGGAGAAGTTTCCAAATTTGTTTGCATAGCCATTACCCATTATCATTTTTAAACTCTCTTAAAGTCAACAAGTATCACAGTATCCAGATAGACTAAAAAGTTCTAGGCAATTTCCCTTTGTCTTGCCAAGTCTACCCACAGACCAGCAAAGATAAGGCATTACAGCCAGAGTTAGCTACCTTCCTGAAACTTTCTGACCCCTGATTTCATGTTTTTATATGCGTGAGGATTTTAATTAAGAAGTATCTGGAAGGCATACCAACTCAAAAAAGGTCCTGAGCACAAACCACCAAATGGAGAATCAAGTAAATTGGCAAACTCTCCCTTTTAAATGTTAATCGCCTTGAAAGGCTTCCATAATTAGTTATTAGCAGTTGAGCTCCATCCCAGCAAAGAAAGGGGAGTGAGGCTGAAGAGGGGAAAAGAATTAAGGAGGGCAGCAGGAGGAAGGGGACAGGTGAAGAAGAACAGACACCAGAAATGCAAAGAGAAATAAAAAAGATACCGAAGATAAAATTTGCCATCAGCTACATATAATCCACATTCCCTCACAGGAAGACTATTAATAGAGAAAATAAGATTTTGCTGCTACATATTTTAGAGTCAGTATTTTAACACAAATTTACCCAACAATGTTAAATGTAAAACAGTTATTCAAGGGAACTGGAGAAACTTTAGTTTCCTGGTAAGTTCCTAGTCACTACAGACATAATATGATGAAAAAAAATGAGTCTGCTTCACACAAGTCTATCAGAAAGAGCACTGAACTAGAACATGAACATTTGGTTCTGATCTCTGTACTAGAACTTGAACATTTAGTTCCTTCCTAGCTTTGGTTTTGACCTTCTTGACAATTAGCTTTAGGTTAGTTACCAAACTTTTATCAATGTTCTCATTCACTCAAACAATAAATATTTCTTAAATGTCTAAAAAATTCTAGTTTCCCAACCCTGACTGCACAGAAGAATCACCTGGGAATACTTACACACACACACACACACACACACACACACACACCCCTCTCTTTGTCCTTAAGACTCTGATTTAATTGGTCTGGGATGGGGCCTGGGCATAGATTAAACAACAACAACAAAAAACTCCCTTGCTATCTTAAAATGCAGGCAAGGTGGAAAACCACACGTCTATTTCATCTTTTACGTACATGGTAAGGAACAGCAAACAATGTGAAGAGCCATCTCCCTTCCTTTAAATGAATCAATTTCCCCTTCTAATCCAATTTTGTTTTAACCTAGATTCTCACCACCTCACACCTAGATTAACAAATAGCTTCCTACCTATTTTCCCTTCTTCCAGTCTCTTCCCAACTCAATAAACCACTGCTGCTGCTAAGTCAGTTCAGTCGTGTCCGACTCTGTGCAACCCCATAGATGGCAGCCCACCAGGCTCCCCCGTCCCTGGGATTCTCCAGGCAAGAACACTGGAGTGGGTTGCCATTTCCTTCTCCAATGCATGAAAGTGAAAAATGAAAGTGAAGTCGCTCAGTTGTGTCCGACTCTTAGCGACCCCATGAACTGCAGCCTACCAGGCTCTTCCGTCCATGGGATTTTCCAGGCAAGAGTACTGGAGTGGGGAGCCATTGCAATAAACCACTGCTGTCTAACTAATCAATTTGGTACTGAAACATTATTCCACTGAGAGTCAATTTAAGTGTAACAATAACAACAAACAGAACTGTTTTCATTGAGCAGAGACTATATTGCATATACATATTTATATGTTTGTATATATACAGGTATGTACATATAATCTCAAACATGCTCTATTTTTCTTCAATTCCATTTATATATAATGGATACTAGTCTCTTTACATACAAGATTATTGCCCCTAACTAGTTGTGGTTGAATTTGGTCAAAAATGAATGGCAAATGAATCACCCATAGATTTCTAATTTAATTCTCACGTGTTCCCACAAGGAACACCCATTCAATTTTTTTTTAAAAAGTAAAATGAGATGGAATTATTTCAAAAAGTTCTCTGTTACTGTAGACATTGATAAAATTTATGATGAATGAGTTTTACCAAAAATAAATATAGTTCTGGTTTGTGTTAAAACTTGCCTCAGAAAACAAACTGAAGCCTTAAAAGCAAATGGTTATAATCACATAAGATGACATTCATATTTATGAAAAATATTATTAAGTACAATATAAGCAGTATATAATGAGAAAACTAAAGAAGTGTATTACTTATTCCCTGCCCTTAAGCAGCTTTCCATCTTCCCAGGGAAAGCAAAACATAAAAAAGAAAATAAAGCCAGCATTAGCATGTAAAGTGGTAAAGACATTAAGTACCACGGGAATTCAAAGAAACAGAAGATTGCCCTGGACTAAGGGAGTTGGAGACAGCATCTTAGAAAAGCTGGGGCTTGAACAAAATTAAATAGGTGGAGAAAAGGAAATCTCATGAACATGAATTTTCTACAAAGATGAGGCAGAAATTCATAAACTATGTGGAACTGGGAGCTGACCTAGTTGGAACAGAGGGTTCTATGTAGGAGCATATGCGGACTTAAGGTTGCAAGAATAAACTGGAGCCAGACAGTGAAAGGCCAGAAAGCCAACCTAGGATGCTTCAACTTTGCGCTATAGATAGATAAATCTTTTATAGCTAACAACAAGCAAAACAACAAATCCCTATAATGATGCAGTCTGAAACCATTTTTCTTGAAGCCTTTGAAGAACATACCAAGTAGTACAATGTCTTGCCAATATATCATGAATATGTGAACATACTGTTTAGGAAATCTGTTCAGAGTGAAAGAGTAAATACTCAAATATGCTTTCCAACATACAAAATCATTGATGGTTCTTAGGATAACTCCTAAGAGAATAACTGGATAGAAGGCTTCAATTTTAGGTTCTCTTCCTCTGCCAACCCTCATCCAAACACACATCTTGATTTAATATCTAGAAACACAATACAATGAAATAGTGTTATTCTGAAAATAAGAGATCTTTTATTACCTCCCATTATGAGTGAATTTACTTACTACATTGCTTCAAAATCACTAAATTTATTAAGATCACTTTGTCCATGATTTCTTTCAGCAAAGCAGATGAAAACAGATACAAAAATAACAAATTTGAAGATTATGAAAAGTGAAAAGTCCTTCATCAAATCAAAACACACATAAAATAATCAGCATTGACTTATAAGGCAGAGGGGAGACTGTTCATAACAAAAAATGCCATCCACAACAAAGAGTACCAGAGAGTATATGAAGAACATTACAATAGCCAATTTCTCACCCAAAATGATAAGCCATTAATCCACAACTCCAAAAAGAATGGAGTTAATTTTGATTCTCAAAAATGCCCTTACAATTTTTGGTTACATCTGTAAAGAAAATTAAGACTCCATCACAACTCAAAACAAGGAATCTTTCCCTTAGTAAAGCAGACACATAAGTGATTGATGATTTAATTTGCCGTGGCAACAAATACTAATTTAAGCACCACTACCTCAACACCAGGAAAATGACAAATCTCAGTATTTAAAGGCATACGTGACAAGAAGGCAAGACTATTCTAGGATGATTAAAACACCCACAAAATAAGAACACAGAAAAAAAAACCATGGCAATACTGCTGCTGCACTAGGAAAAGGGATATACCATTCTTACAGGCACGCATGGCTCTAAAGAATATGTATAGATTATGGTCTTCTGTATTGCCTTTTTTTCCCTCCAGGAAAGACCCGGAACATCCACGAGAGTTGGAAGAAGTGCATTCAGGAAGGTGTCAATGCCTCCCTCCCCACCCCTTTAGTGGGGTAACTCGCTTTAACAATAATGCTCTTTCACTCCTCACATGCCACCCGGTTTCCACAGACCCTTCAATCAGCATTCCCGCCCACCCCCCTCCACTTCCCTGCTCTGCCCCTCACATTCAGAACTGGCTGCTCCGACTCAGTCTCGCCGCCCCCGCGCACCCGCCCAGACCAGCCGAGTCCAACAACGCAGCCACGCAGCCACCCAGAAACCCACTGCCCCCACCTCCTCCTTGCCCAGCTGCCCCTCCCCCTCCCCGTCCTGTCACCTGCTTGGGTGGTGTCCGTCAGGTCGTAGCCGCTGCCCGGGAAGTCTCGGAGCTTCCTACCGCTGAGGCTCAGGATGCCGGAGTTGCCCGCCTCCTCCAGGGCCCGGTCCAGGCTCCTCACGGTGTGTTGAGGCTGCAGGCTCCCCGGGTTCCACTGCGGCCCGTTGGGGAACGGCTGACCGAAAAGAGTCGGTACCGGGATGGGCACCACCAGGGTCCCGCCGCCGCCGCCGCCGCCTCCCACTCCGGCTCCGCCACCTCCCCCTCCGGCCCCACCACCGCCACCGCTACTTCCACCTCCACCACAACCGCCGCCCCCACTGTTACCACCACCTCCCTGACTCGCCGCCATGTTCCTGGGAGAGAGAATAGCCCCCGACAATACTCTGAGCCTGTGCCGCGAGTGTAGGGGGTTCTTAGGACGCATGCGCAGGCTGGGGGCGGGAGGTGGGGGGTGCGAGGTAGAGGGTGGGAAGGAACCAGGGGGCGGGCTGGGAGGAGGTGTTGGGTATTGAAGAGACGCTGTTCAAATGTGCAGAATGCTTGCTTTAAGAAATGTGCTATCAGAGGAAGGATGCTAAATCCCGGTTCCGCTGCTTTGGGTACCAAAATCTTGCGAAGCGACACCAGCTTAACTCTAGGTCGTCAGGGATATGACCCTAGATCTCTAAGTTGCTTCACCTTTTGAGATCTGCAAAACAAAAGTAAATATATTAGAGATGAAAGAGATTCGTTTCAGAATATTTTGAAGCGGCATTTAGAAGGACTATCAGCTACCTGATTGAAACGCTTACCGCAAATGCCTCAGGAATCCTTTAGCAGTGGTAACACAGAGAGAAACTTTGGGGAAGAATATGGGTGCAGAATTGTGCTTTAAGCCTACATGAATTTTGCCATAATTTAGAATTCCAAAATAAGAAAAGCCTTTTTAAATGTTTTCAAGGAAGCCTCTCATTTCAGTGTGTGTGGGTCTCAGCCAAACTGCTGCCTTCCAAAACTTGGAAAAGTTCTCTACATTCTGTTCTGTAACTCTTTGAAGTGCTGCCAAGGTCTCCAAAATATCTCGAGTTTCTTCTCATCATGTCATTATGGCTGATGGAAAACTCTGATCATCAAACAACCTTAAAGTTTTGTTTTGTTTTGTTTTGTTTTTATACAGGCTTTAGTTTTAGGTAGAATTCTGAAGATTTAACTCTGTGGATCGGAAGCTAATCAATCTTGGATTTTAGGAGTTCATTCTTGGAACCTGAAGCCAACCATTCAGGTAGGTCACTGCCATCCCTCCACTCCCACTCAGAGTTGGTGGGAGAAATGGTGCGAGAAATCACATTTGCCACATGCATGACCCACAGAAGGAACAGTACTGAAAATCAGACCTCCACAATGAATTAGGAAGCAAAATTAAATTATTTATACTCGCTGGTGTCAAAAAAGAACGTTCTACCTTATAGCTCATCTTTCTTACATCGCAAATCAAATTAGGTATTAATTGAGAATTCCCAGAATCAAGAAGGGTGGAAAGGGAAACTAAATGCATTAGACAGAGATAAGATTATGAAAGGAACATTTAATAACTAGGCAATGAAAAAATTAGTGATTATTTAAACAATGTGTTGGACTCCAGGAAAAGTATGTCCTCAGGATAGCTGTCGAGAGAAGGCATTGTACAACCAAATTTAAGAACAAAAGTAATCTTTCAAAGAATTTAAAAGATAGTCTAAGTAGAAAAAACAGGACGCCTACAAGGTAGGCTAGATACATGAAAATCAGGCAAAATAACACATTCTGAAGCTCTTTGACAAAGAGTTTTGAACAAAATATGCAGTCTTTATTGAATAAAGCACTGGCCAACTACAAATACGATTTGTATTCAAGAGAACCAAGCAAATTGGTAGTTACTTAACATTTATAAATAATATAGAGAAGAAGAGGCAGAGCCCAAAGCTCCAAATTCTTCTATTATAGATCAAGATTATTGGGATAGACTACAGGATGTTCTTATCAGCCTATAAATAAATCGAAAGTGAGATGTTTTATCTCTGGATCTAGAAGACAGTGAACTTGGGGGTGAACTAGACAGAACTATAATATGAATTTTTGTTAAAATCCTGATCAGGATGCAGGAAAAATCCAAGGGAGTCTCTGCAGCTTGTTTCCTGAAAACATCAGGATTTAACATCGGCTAAATACTAAACTCAGGGGAGAAGAACCAGTGAAATGTTGAGTATCATCAAGACATATCAGAGGGGCTTCCCTGGTGTCTCAGCAGTAAAGAATCTGCTTGCAATGCAGGAGACGTGGGTTCTATCCCTGGGTCAGGAAGATCGCCTGGAGGAGGGCATGGCAACCTACTCCAGTTAAGATTTTTAAAACATTTTTTAAAAGACATATATTAGAAACCCTGAAAATATTAATTTACATCATACTGAACTATTCCACAGCTGCTGCTGGAATGTGATGTGAAGTTCCGCTCACTCCACTCTCAGCATAAGTCCTAAATTAAAGAAAGCTCTAAGAAGTACACCTAAAATAATTAGAGAAATGAGAGAAGGAGAAATTTACTTGGCCTTCATCTCTCTAGTAACCTGATCTTCAGTCCCTTCCAATATCCCTGTTCTGGCATGGAGCCTTCAGAGGACTGAGTATACTTTAACTTATTTTAGCATAATCTATAGAACACTATATATGACATGCCTGATCCTCCTTCCCCTGACATCTTTTTTTTTTCTTTTTCAGGCCTAGCCACACAGCTTTCTGGATGGGATCTTAGTTCCCCCATCAGGGATCAAACCGTGGTTCCCTGGCAGTGAAAGCACTGAGTCCAAACTACTAGACCACCAGGTAATTCCCCCTTTGCGCTGCTTTAACCAATCCTAACAAATTCATTAATCCCAAAGTTAATATTTCTTAACTCAAAAGGGATTTGGAGAAATATAGAACAATTACTATTACTTAAAAGAGACTATTATATAACTAATCTTTAATGGTGATGTCAATAAGCACTATTATGTTCTGTCTTAGTTAGAATCCCTGCTATGATGCTTACAAGATGCAAGATAGACAAGTCGTTTAAGCTCTCAAAGTCTCAGATTTCTTGTCTATAAACCAAGGATCATAAAATTATTAGCTATCTCAGAAGACTGTAGTGAGGATTACATGAGATATTTACACAAAGCACATATATTATAATGGTTGTTACCTTTTTTTATGTTTACTTTGCCTGTAGAACACTGAGCAAAGTGAATGATGAATTATCAGCACAGCAGTTCTTAAATTCCTCTGTACTACTGTGCTACCAGCATTAATAGACCTTTTCCTCTGTGTTGCTCTTGAAGTTACATCCTTACTGATTCACCCCAGGTTTCTGCCTCTCCTAACTTTCGTGTTTTCACTATATGATCCAGTAACTTGATTCCAATTCTTGCTTACTTTCTGTAATGCAATCCCAGGTTTTTGACCTCTGTGTTCCTAGTATGTTAAACTGATATCATGAAATCCATTTAAGTATCTGTTCCAAATCTTCCTTTAAAATATATCTTAAATGTTTTTGCTTCATGTAAACAACACAGGGGTTCTCACGGCAAGAATACTGAAGTGGTTTGCCGTTCCCTTCTCCAGTGAATGACATTTTGTCAGAACTCTCCACCATGACCTGTTTGTTTTGGGTGGCCCTACATGGCATGGCTCATAGTTTCATTGAGTTAGACAAGGCTGTGGTCCATGTAATCAGTTTGGTTAGTTTTCTGAGATTGTGAGTTTTCATTCTGTCTGCCCTCTGATAAATAAGGATAAGAGGCTTATGGAAGCTTCCTGATGGGAGAGACTGACTGTGGGGGAAACTAGGTCTTGTTTTGATGGGTGGGGCCGTGCCCCATAAATCTTTATTCTAATTTTCTGTTGATGGGTGGGGCTGTGTTCCCTCCCTGTTATTTGACCTGAGGCCAAACTATGGTGGAGATAATGAAGAACTGACTCATTGGAAAAGACCCTGATGCTGGGAAAGATTGAAGGCAGGAGGAGAAGGGGACCACAGAGGATGAGATGGTTGGATGGCATCACAGACTCAATGGACATGATTTTGAGTAAGCTCTGGGAGTTGGTGATGGACAGGGAAGCCTGGCATGCCACAGTCCATGGGGTCACAGAGTCGGACATGACTGAGTGAATGAACTGAACTGAAGCAACAAAAGTCTATTAAAAAATCCTGAAGAGTTTCTTATTAGTGTATAAAATATAGATTGCTGAAGTTTTTCTTAGTTTAGCTTGGCCAGAAGAAAGTAAATAAAATATCATATTAAATTATTCAGACTCTTATGTCCAGTTAGAAAATATAAGATTGAGAAATATTTTTTAGTCTTCTTTGGTATTACATCTGGAAGTCTCCTCTTTATAGGTAAACATGAAACAAGCCATATGCCTTTTGGGCAATCTTGTATAATTATCTTCCTCTGCTGGCAGTATATGAGAGAAAATGATGAAATAGGGCCTTTTCAAGCAAAATCTAAATTCCTAAAAGGAAGACCTAAGCAACTGTCATGTTACCTCTAAGCAGGCTATACATGTGTAAGGGAAAAAATAAAAGATGTTAATGACACTTCAGTAAAGCCTGTTAAAAGAATTGGGCTTCCCAGGTGGCTCAGATGATAAGGAAATCACCTGCCAATGCAAGAAGACTTGGGTTTGACTCCTAGTTCGGGAAGATACCCTGGAGAAGGAAATGGCAACTCATTCCAATATTCTTGCCTGGAGAACCCCAGAGACAGAGGAGGCTATGGTCCATGGGGTCGCAAAGAGTAAGACACAACTTAGCAACTGAAGAACAACAACATTAAAAGAATTACAATATCAAGATAGATTAAAACCCCAGGAGAAAAGATAAATCCCAAAAAGGTTTAGATTCTGTATTTACTTAAACAGAATGAAATAGAAATATTGGACCAAAATCTGTGTATAAAATAAAGGTTGGAATGAAATGATGAAGAATCAAGTTGGGCATCTACCAAAGTCTAATTATATTTGTTTACCTTAAATTTTGCTTCAAATCCTCATCACTATATATGGCAAAGTGTGTCTGTTAGAGGTTTATGGGGTTTTGTTTCTTTCTCTAAATCAAATAACATATGAAATAAATCTCTGTGGGACTGTGACTGAAGTAACTCCAGGCCTGGAGGCAGTGTGCCTAAATTATAAGTTGTTTTTTTTTTTAATTTATGATGCAATTTCTCTAAAAGGCTGAATCTGTTAACCTGAAGCTCTCAAGTAATAACTGGGTCACACATGACCCTAAAGTCCAGTGCTTCTCTCTATGTGGCAACAAGACTATTTCTTCTGAACCATAGTCACGATCATGAC